TGGGTTGCAATGAAGCCGAGACCCTATGGTCGGTCAAGCTGCCCCTGCCTCTCCCCCACTCCTGCCATTCCATATGTCTCATCGCTGCCTTGCTGCTTTGTGCCATCAAATGGTGTGTGGTGTTTTGTAAAGAAAAAAAAAGAAAAAAACAATTCCCGAAGTATCGCCGAAGTCGCACCAACCTCTCCCACACATGACAATAGTTGAAACAACTCCCTCCAGCTAATGATCCCCTCAACACTGACCAATACGTATACCATGGTCGTTCACATACAGTCGTACACATACAGTCGTACACATACATGTACACATACATGTACACATACATGTACACATACATGTACACATACATGTACACATACAATCATGTAGGATGTATGAAGGTTCGTCATACCATAACAATGCGCGTGAGAAAAAAATACAAGCCCAATCGCACCAATCTTTAGGTAGCACGTTACAATAGTGTAATTATTCTACAAATCTCTCCAGATGAACAACGTTACCCCACTGCCTGCTGTCCTCAGAGCGCTGAGCCCACATACATGACTTCCTTATTGGCCATGGGCCATCGTGGAAATAAAGAATAATAATGATGTACACGCAAACTCGGAGGGAGTTGTGGTTGCTCGTGAGAGTGCTCAATACACCAAGGTGCAGAGCCTAGTACACACACTTGAGAGGAATCAAAAGCGTTTCTTCTGTAACTCTGAGTTTCACGGTTTTAACCGATCATCAGACAGCAACTTGACTACAATTCGATGACGGCCTAGCAGTGCTACGAGATGTGACAGGCAGCGAAGCAGACCGAATGAGGAAGACAGTCTGCAAGATATTCAACAACCTCGGACTACGACTAACCATCGACACCGGTATGAAGGTTGTGAATTTTCTGGACGTGACGCTAAACCTAGCAGACGGAACATATCGTCCGTATAGAAAACCGAACGATACACCGGTCTATGTCCACAGCCAATCGAATCATCCACCAACAATCATCAAGCAAATATCCATACTAGTATGTCCTTTTTCTTTCTAAAAATTAATATTATTGGCCCAACATTCGAGTTTAAAATTATAGATCATCATGAGTGTGAAATGGCTGACAGTCGACCAAGGGCAAGGTCCAGGAGATCAGGGGAGAGACAGATACAGTACTACAGTATATGATTGTACTGATATGGGAAAGTACAATCATGCAGTAGTAGACTACTGTGGATGGAGAGAGTGCAGGAATGATGTCATACTCGTACTGCCCTTGGCTGTGTGATCCGTGGCTGGATTAGGAATTGTATCTTTCAGGAGCACTGTGGGGCATACACCGTGTAGCAAAGCTGCTGTTGATCATACCTAATTCACGCTAGAGTCTATTTATAGGAAAGAATTTTAGACGCAATGCTAAACAGTGCATAAGGCCATATACTGACGTCACGTTGTTTACCCTGCGTAGACGCCTTTGAGGTCGGCAGAGCAGCCTGGCCCCGGCCCCGCCACCACTTCTCGCACATATTCGGGAATATAGTGGACTTTCGTATAAAAAATAAAAAATAAACCCTTATAGTAAAGAAAAAAAGGACCGAGTCCATTCTTGTTTACTTTGCGTTTGGTAGTGTGGTGGTGTCGGGTAGGACGGCTGTATTGCTGCCATGTAATCATGGTTATGATGTTGCTTTAGAATTCAGTACCAGAAAGATTCCACGCGCTGTTCTTACTCGCTTTCATGCACGCCGCTATGAAGGACAGTACATTCCACACCCAGCGAGAATTGCTCTTAGAAAGGTGCCACCCGCTGGAACCTACATTGACATTGTACCGTGCTGCTCAATGAAATCCAGTCGCGTCACTCAAGTAATTAGTTTGCGCCTTGCACCATTTCACAGCCCCAGTGTTAGCAGGTCTTGTAGGGCTGCGCAACGCCCGGCCGGCGCGTACTGGACTCGAGGGATATACCCCGGATGCGACTGGATTTCATTGAGCAGGAGCGTAGATCTACGTGCGCCACACATGGCGCAACCTCCAAGGAAGTAACTTCAATCTAAACTAAAATTTAATAATTCAGAGCTGGACACGCTCAGGTCGCAGACAGCATCGTCGAAAGGATGCACCTGCCAGGTACTGACTCGCCAACACCACCCCCGTGTAGTCATTTTTAGGTTTCTAGAATCAACCAGCCGCTCACCTGCTCACTGCGTTCTAAAACTGAACCGGATCGAACGCTAAACGGTCACAGACCCCACCTCTCAACTGTGAACATGTGTGGTTTATCACGTCCGTGGGAAACTCACCCGGAGCAAGTCCACCATAGCAAGATAACCCGCTGGTAACAAGGTAACCACATCATCCACGGTCCAGGTGTGGTCCTAAAACGAGACGTTCAACTCAGATCAGCTTCTGTGAGCGTGGTCAGTTAGAGTAGCAATTAACAGAGTGCAGCGAGATGTAGGACTACTGCTACTAGGAGACTGACCAACGACAAGTGGAACTAGCTGCAATTCTACTTCAAAGAGGCCTAAGTTAGTTCGCTTCCTCGGGCCGGGGTAAGCAGGGAATAATCAAGAGCTGCAAGTTCGTGCAAGAACAGTGCTCGAATTTTACTTGAATTGAAAGGTTCGCCGATACTACTGTCCGCTGAATCCATCCCTGGAATAGTCTGAACCAGGAGGCCCAACACATAGATGTACGTCGTAACGACTGCAACGTTACCGTATGACTGTGTGGAGTTTACCGGTCAGAACACGCAAAATCATTCGGAGGGAAGCACTACTTCCAGACAAGTGATGAAAAGTATACGTTGTCACTTATCGGAGGATGCAGGATGGATGGAAGATGTTATCTGATCGATGGTTGTGTAGCATGAAACTCAGGGCTGCAGCAAACTAGCCTCTTCCTTTGTAGCTCTGTGTACATTGTCTGTCATGTAATTCCTGATGTTCAGTTGCCCATGGAAGGTCCCCCATCAGGCCCACTTCCAGAACCGCTAATTATTAATAAAGGGGTGGATTCGAACCTCATTCCTGTTTCTATTCCTGTTGCGAGGATGGGAGTTCTTGCCAACAAGAGGTTGGCAAGAACCAGAGGGGCACCAGAGGGACACCGCAAACAGGGTCCGGAGTGGTTGCACTGCCAATCGGACTCTTTCACACTGACTGCCACCGGGTGCTCGCTGCTTCACAAACCAGCAGTTAGCCCCCTGGAAGTCATTTCTATGCTTGAGTCGGTGGAGTAGCTGTCAGAGTCAGCGGAAACAAGTCCCATGATACTCTGAATAGCAACAGTTACACACACACAAACACACACACACACACACGTACACCCACACACACCCACACCCACACACCCACACACACACACACACCCACACACACACCCACACCCACACCCACACACACTCACTCTCTCTCTCTCTCTCTCTCTCTCTCTGCGCATGTACGCGTGTGTGTGTGTACATGTATGTGTGTCTGTCTGGGTGAGCTGGGTGGTTACCAACAGCCAGTGTATGCCGGAGTATGTGGTGTGGTGTGTGTGTAGAAAAAAATTGAAAAATGAAAAATAGGGATTCACTGGCCAGAAAAAGTCACTTCAAACAGCTGTGTGGTGGATACCAGGCTAAAAATAGTGGCGGTCAACTCATCAGCCTTGCAAGCTGTTGAATGGTGTAATCCCAGCACAAGTTGCTATGTCTAACATAGCTGTTCGCTATCATCGCTTCCGCGATGGGCATGTCTGAGGTCTAAGGCCTGTCTGGCTCTTTCTTTCATACCCTCAGTCTGTGTGTGTCTTTCTCTCCCCCCCCCCCCCCCTGCTTGCTCATAATCTTCATTTCAGATAAAGTGCACTATACTATAGCAACACTGCCGCCGATTCTTGTCCACAACAGAACACTACATCATAATCACACTGTGTAGCAGGTACGGTCATCACAAAGATAATACCTGGCTGTAGAAGTCTACACGACACATACATGTACATGTACATCCACTGATCTCTCCTAAGTATAATGATAATCGACAAAGAAAGCAGGCAAAGATATGACACACATAGAAACAAATCAATCCTTTAAGTTGGAAACTGGCAAAAAAAACCCTAATAAGGCCACCCAGAATTAATTCGTTGTTTCGGGTCACCCGACCGCAAAATGTTTTTTTATAGTGCATGCAAATGTGCATGACTAGACTACAGTGAAACCTGGTTAGGAAGAACACTGATAGTGATAAGACAAATGTTTGCTTAAGAAGAACTAGTATTCGTAACTCCATTGGATAAATCACTGTGTATTCACTGGGTATAACATACGGATAAGAAGAACTCCCGTTATTGTGAACAAATATCATCGGTCCCTTGATGTTCGTTCTAAAGAGGTTTGACTGTGTGTACTAACATGTACACACGTGCCTAATAATAATACTTTATAGCTAGCAGTCCAGACATCGACTTCAGAAGCAGCCAAATAAAATAACAGGATGAAGCGCTTGATGACGATGTTGTCTTCCGATCCGCAATCGGTCCTGAAACAGGATCAGCTCCGCCATCGCATCGCTCCTTGACAGACGTTTTCAAGGTGAGAGCTGCTCTTCAGACTCGTTTGCCAGCGAGGCCAAGGTCTGGTCCTGGAGGGGACCTACCTGGATCTGATGGGACAATGACTGCGCTGGATCGTCTACAGTCATGATTTGATCGACTAGCTTGATGGACAAAAGCTATTCGATATGCACATATACATGGCAGTAACCAAAATAAAAAATAAAATAAAATAAAAAATAAACCCGACCGACCGACCCTGGTACGGATGAGTGAAGTGACCCGAAACGAATTAATTCTAGGTGGCCTAATGTGACTTATTTTCCTACTCTGCACACCTGGTCCACATCACATTGTGACAAGAGAACGGTGAGTTATTGGCCACACAGATGAATGCAAGCGTGTACTATTGCGAGCACGCGCGTACCCCCCCCCCCCAACACATACACTTATACATGCACATGTGCCACAGCGCCGAGAGAAAATCAGGGAACATAAAATTAATGTGCTCAATAGTGCTGAAAGGCACCGAGTTAAAACTGTTGCAGAGCCAACAAAATATCTCCAGGACCGTATCCAGAGAGAAGCAACCTACTTCAAACAAAGAGCCCATGACAAACTGCGCTGGCAATAGAAAACATGTCCTACCGGTAATAAAAAGAAGACGCCATGTACTACTACTGTGTTTACTCGAGACCCGACAGGTATGATAGTGATGCATGTACGGGACCCCGACAGGTATGATAGTGATGCATGTACGGGACACGTACTAAAAAGGCTAGTCAAAACGGTGAGACTCAAAAGATTTACAGGCTACAGTATATGTACGTTGTGTGTGTTATGACTCGAACTCATGAGTGGTTCCCCTCCAGAGTAATTCAAGCGAGTGGAAGAAAAAAAAAGAAAAAATTTCAAACAGATCATCACAGTTCACGGCTAGAGTGAGAAGCCACAGGATCTAGGATTAGGCCACTATTGGTTTTGCGGTAAAAATAAAATTACAATTCCGGTCAAAAAAAATTAGCAAGATCATTTTAAGAGAAAAGATATGTAGCAGTACAGTTGCATTACCACACTCCATCATCGCCATGGTTATTTTCTTCATCCAAGCGAGCAATGCCCTCGTTCAACGGTTGCCGGTCAACTCCGAATGAGAAGTCCTCGTGGAGGCGCAGCCGAATGTGCACGTCTAGATTAATGCGCTGGAACTCTTTGAAGAAGGTCAGGAAAAAGATGGCGAAGAGGAAACCCATCGCCCACTCGGACACAGTGCTGGCAATATGCGCTTCATAACCCTGAAACGACGAGCGCACACATACACATAAGTACACATGCACACAGATGCATGCACAAAAATTACACACACACACACACACACACACACACACACACACACACACACACACACACACACACACACACACACACACACACACACACATATATATACTAGAGTATAAAATAATATGACTGAAAGAAGCAGAGAGAGAGTTGCTTAGAGTAGTTAAAACTGAGCAGAATGAAAGGGAAAAGAAACGGTATTGTCAAAAATCATGAACCCGACCACTCACCACTGACAAGGAAAAGTCGGTGCAAAATATCCCTTTCCTCATTGATGAGATTGGGTGAGGCAGTGTCTGGATGAACCTTTTCTAAGTATGTCAACGGCTGATAAATAACACGTCAGGGCAACAAGCATGACTGACATCGTCGTAGCAAGGCGAAAGCGGAAAGTTCCGGACGGCGATCCGGCATGATGTGAATAGGTGATGCGACCACTCTCAGTACACATACCCCCCCCCCCCCTCCACACACTCACTGCACACATGCCCCCCCCCCCCCCCCCCCACACACACACATTCCCTGCACACACTCACTGGGAGAGATCGATCTATTCGAAGCAAGATGAGAGACTGTCTACAGGTGCCACAAGCAAGAGAGGATGTTATGAGGAGAGAGAGAGAGAGAGAGAGAGAGAGAGAGAGAGAGGCGGAGCATGTGACATTTGTGCCGGTTGAGTTGTCAGCGAGCGGTGGCATGGGAAAAGCAGCTACAGCATTGTAATGACGCACTGTGTCACTCCGAGTCGGGAAGAGAAAGGAGCAGGACTCCCACGTGATGTAGTACATCCGATGCCGACTGTCATTCGCCCTGTTGCGGCTGTGCATCCTTTGTTTGCGGTGTGCAAGGGGTCTCTTCAGTGAGCAATCGGCTGAGCTGGTTGCAGCTGAGGCCCAAGCTGCTCGCACATGGAAACTCATTCGATTTTCACTTGCCACCCATTCAAATATTGTGATAAACACTGGGTAAAAAAGGAGAAGGACAACATGTTACGAAGTCGGTTGTTCCAACGAGGAACACACGCTTCCTGCAGACACTTGACTGATTCAAGTGCCGGCAGGAAGCGTGTGCTCCTCGTTGGAACAACCAACTTCATGACTAATACCGCCGAAGTCGCAACTTCTAAGACAAAAGTGTCACACTGGATATAATATTTCTTTGCAGGTTATGTTGATGATTCAGTAGCGTTCCGTTGTCTCTCGTTGTTGCATAATACATCTTCACAATATTGTTCGTGAGCATCCCCTAAATTGTCTGATGATTGGCACTATTGCCATGGAACTCCAAGTTATAGCAAAACAAAGTTCCCGCCAGTGCGAACTTGTGTCGAAGGCTCCTCTTCGCGAGCTGAGCACGTCTGCAAGTTAACGACAACTCTGCTTCGTCTCAACAATATTGTGTGGAAAAAAGGAAAAGAAAAAGAAACATAGTTGAACTCGGATGTTGGTGGACAGCTGGTCATAACTCGTAACATTCTGTCCTTTTCCTTTCTTCATCATAAAAAGAAACATGCCGGCTTAATCACCAGCGTTGCCAGTAGCAGCTGCATAAGAGCAATGCCAGGGTACCAAGCTCCATTATCCAGTCGCCACAAATCAGGCGCGGTAACACAGCAAAGTCGTCTCCAAGCCTGATATGCAAGCAAATTCGTCACATCAACGCCATTCCACTCTCCTTCATCGTAGAATGCTCAAATTTGTTTGAGACGACTCAAACTTTAGCCGACTACGTCATTATCATGTGCTCAGTCGCTCAAAGAGCACACGAAAAGGGATTTCCCCCCCAAAATGGCGAAGTGATCGATCAAATATTTGAATTTGCCGAGGTAAGAATACGGCGCGCGACATCTCTGGCGTCCGACATCGTAACTCTTCGGCAATTGTTGCATTGCATAGCTTAGATTTTCCGCTACCAAATAGACCCTTCGATTGTTGAATTCGCACAAGAAACGATGGAGTTACGAAGATATTACTGGCCTGCAGACTTCGATATATGATCGAAAGTCTGCAGGCCGGTAATACAGGGTTAAGTAGCAGAATTGCAGGCAAGACTTACCCCGTCACCTTTCTTCCAGTGCATGGAAGCGTTCAGATGATAGTTGTTCTCCACGTGAAACTGTTTATGGCTGACGGCCATGAAGACCATGGCTGGGTTCGAGGTAATCAGGTCAAGGAATTATTATTATTATTATTTATTCATATTTTACTAGGGCAGTCCCTGGAATCTACTTTGACAGGAGGAGAAGAAGACAATAAACACCTCGCTAGGAACGCAAGGATTGGAACTTTTTTTGCCCTTAAATCAACATTAAAATGTTGATTTAAGGGTATACGGGCATGTCACCACCAATCACAGATATAATATACTGTACTGAGCGTAAATTTCACACGCAAATTTTCCCGCACAAGAGGCAAGCATGGGATTGGTACGGAAAAAAATTGTACAGCATTACGGGGACTCCATCAAGGATGTACGCTTGCACCTGTGTTATTAAAACGTTTATTTTTCTGCTGCCGTGCACGAGTGCCGTTCCGGCTGTGTCTCTGCTGGGATACCAGTGGCATATCGCGTTGAGTGGAAACTCGTCAGTGGCGACACAGCCAAGTCCCTCTTGTCGCACTGTTCTGTTACAGAATCGCACTCGGCCGATATTGCAACCATGCCTCTACGCTCAGTCAGTCAAGGATATGGAAGCGGCGGGCAGTTCCTTGTTGCCACAGCAAGCAGGTTTGAAACCGTCTGGCCTTCCTGTAAGATTCACCAACACCAACGCTATGGTGGCAAACACCTCGTAACTACCATTCTGCCTTTCTGCCCGAGTGTAGTATTGAGTTGGTGCCAGCTTTTCCATATCTCGAAGTTGAACTTTTTCGGATGGCCACAGAGAGGGCTGAGATATCTGCTCGCTTCGCGAGGGCTTCTTGGTATACTGTGCTCTCCTGTCTTTTTAATAAGACCAAGGTACATGACTATTAATTTTGGCTTTCGTCTTATCGACATCACTGTATGGCTGCGAAACCTGGCCAATCATAACTTCCTATACCTGTACGTGTACTTGCTCACTGCCAAAACGTATTACGTGGGCCTCCCAGGGAGACGTGAGAGAGACTCAAAAAATTCATACACACCATACACACACACACACACACACACACACACACACACACACACACACACACACACCACACACACACACACACACGCACGCATACAGAGGCTGGCAAAAGGATACTGTTCACAAAGCAGATGGCGGTGAGGAGGTTGATGACCATACGCACCAGGAGCAGGCGACCTCGCTGCATCGTTGTCTGCCCGGCCTGCATGCGATACGTCATGACGCACTGCATAATGCCATAAACTACACCTCCGGCGAACGTCATTGTGGCTCCCGTCAGATGCACGACACCAACGTAAATCTCCTGTACATACAAGGAAATACACACACACACACACACACACACACACACACACACACACACACACACACACACACACACACACACACACACACACACACACAGATGAGATGTGACTGCACACACACATAGAGGAGATGAGACTACCGTATTTTACAGGTTATAAGTCGACCTTTCACGACTAAAAATCGAAGAGGAACGAACGTTGGGTGTCCAATTAAAACTGGGATTCAATTTATAGCTGGGAACTACCGGCAACTTCCAAAAACGACCTGCACTCAATGCACGAGTGCACCGTGTGTATGCATTTTTGGCCAGCATATTCGCCTGGTAGACCAAGGTGTCCGCAACTTTGAGGTCCGGATATGAGAGATATGAGCGTGCAAACAATGGCAGTAATAACACCATCGGTCCACTACACAGGAGGTAGTGAGGTAGTGGACACGCAGGCACCAGCAGTGACACCACCGAGTGCGCAGCATTGTTGCGTAGCTGCACGATACCTGGCATAACATACCTGCATGTGTGTGTGTGTGTGTGTGTGTGTGTGTGTGTGCGCGCACACGTGAGCGAGTGTGTGACCAGGCAACTGTCAGTGTCCTCCCTACATACCCATAAAACGGTGATGGCTGCGGAGAGCATCTTACCTGAAAACTTGCCACCACTAGCATGCCGAATGCAGCAAGGTAGCCCACGTATGATCCCCATCGGTTAAGTCTGAGTACGCGAAGCACATCCTGCTTGTTATACTCAGCCACTTGCTTGTAGCGTACAAAAACGATACAAAATACTGCAAAGAGAAAAGCACAAAACATGGAAGGTCGGACATAATCTCGGATATAACACTATTATGCGTGTTGTGTGTGTGTGTGTGTGTGTGTGTGTGCGCATGTGTGTGTGTGTGTGTGTGTGTGTGTGTGTGTGTGTGTGTGTGTGTGTGTGTGTGTGTGTGTGTGTGCCCGCTCGGCTGTGCCTGGTGTAACTCTGCGCAATCGCATTGGACGGCAGCTTGTTGGCGATCGGTCGGCCAAATCGAAACCGCTCGAGACCGAGATAACGGAGTCACAGTTTGCAGATGATGCAGCGCTTTATGCACTGGCTCGGTGTGAGGTTGACATCATGGCAAGGGAGCTGATAAGCTACACTGCATGTTGGGGCTTGACCGTAAGCACTTCCAAGACGAAGGTGGTTCTCTGGATGGCAAGGTAGCGGCGCGGCTGGTTAAAGCGGCACGTGTTTTCGGCTCCTTGCAGAAGCCTATCTTCCAGAATAAGCCCCTATCCATACGCACGAAGCGACTGATGTATACGGCCATTGTACTCACCACTCTGTTCTACGATACCGAGACCTGGGCGCTGAAGGCGACACACCTGCGGCGGCTAAACGTATCACGCATGCAGCCGTGCCATCCTCGGTGTATCCCACTCGACACAGTGGCAGAACAGGCTCACCAGCGAGGAGATTGCAGAGAAAGTCGGACTCCCAGCAGACATTGGTGAGCTTCTGCGCTGCCATCATCTTCGCTGGCTTGGTCACATTGGATTCCAGCCGTCTTCCCAAGCAGGTCCTCTTCGGGAAACTTCCGTCACGGCACCCCAGTCATGGCCCACGGAAGATATGGCGTGATGTCACTAGATCTGACCTGGCCGTGGCGGGGATCCCGGAAGGTGACTGGTATGATGTGGCACAGGACAGGGGAGAGTGGAGGAAGTTGTCTCGTCGTCCTTGTCTTCCTCCGCCAGAGCCAGCAAAGAGCTTTCAGTGCATGTGTGGACGAACATTTCGCCGGGCGGGTGACTTGAAGCGTCACTCCCCACATTGCTCAGCTCGAACGCTATCATCGCATTTGCGATGGGCGTCCAAAGTCTAAGATGTGTGTCTGTGTGTGTGTGTCCGTTATCTGGCGCTTGTCCTGATCTGTTTCAATCAGAATCAGATCCGCTATCAATGCTATAAAGAGAAAATCTGTGGGTGCACATCCAGTGCATTGCAGATTTGCGTGCTTCTCGTGCGACGTGCGTATACATGGTACATGGTGTGTGAGTGTGTGTGTGTGTGTGTGTGTGAGAGAGAGAGAGAGAGAGTGTGTGGTGTGTGTGCGTGTGTGTGTGTATGTGTGTGTGTGTGTGTGTGTGTGTGCATGTGTGTGTGTGTGTGTGTGTGTGCGTGCGTGCATGTGCGTGTGTATGTGTGTGCGTGTGTGTGTGTGTGTGTGTGTGTGTGTGTGTGTGTGTGTGTGTGTGTGTGTGTGTGTGTGTGTGTGTGTGTGCTTGTAAGTACAAGTAGGCCTGACCACACATAGGATGGCTGTCAGCAAGAGTACATGACACCCAGAGCGTGCAGCTCGGGTGTGTTGGTGTCACAGCGGAATCCCGTGATAACATCATTTTAGTGCGGTTGTGTGTGCACGCAGGATACCAGCAGTTCTCTTTCTGCACAACTGCAGCTCAGTTGTACGCACCATGCCACTTCCTGCCGCTTATCTGCACCAAATATGATATAATAATGTCTATGATTGGTATAGCACATACTGTTATGCAGCTAACACAGTGAGTGCGTTCGATTATGCATGCGAATCGATTCACGAAACGATTCATGAATCGATTCGCGCTATTCACATCACCCCATACGAATAGAGTGAATGGATTCCGAATCGATTCCAGGGCTCATGACATGAAAATCGAACGACTTGAATGCACTTGAATCGATTCATGAATCGATTCAAGTGTGTAATCGAACGCACTCAGTGTATATCCGTGGTATAGCACGCACTGTACCTAAGAATGAGCAAAGGCTAAGCATCAAGGTGAAGACACAGCTCTCCGGCGGGTCAGCTCCCGTATCACTGCACACACGTAAGCATGACGGAAAAGAGCAAACACACACACGTGTGCACACAGACGCAGACAGACAGACAGACAGACAGACAGACAGACACACACACACACACACACACACACACACACACACACACACACACAATGATCATTACCGCCAAAGTCACTACTCCAAAATCACACAGCTCTCTGTCATGACAACTTCTATTGCAAAGTGTCATGAAAGAAGCTGTGTGATGAGTTGGACATCCTCAAGCATTGTCACTGAAAAAAAGAGCTGCACATTTAAAGTGTGACAACACCCTAGGCACCCCCTGTGGTACTTTCTCATCCTGAAAATACAGCACAAACAAAAAAACTTCTCATCCAGGAAATACAGCACAAACAAAGAACTTCTCATTCAGAAAGTGCAGCACAAACACCGTCAAGCACTGGACCCTTACCTAATATAGGGAAACGCCGGATCAATGTGGCCTTCCTTCCAGGCTATGATAAACCTGTGTTGAGAACAGGAAAGATGGCAAAAGCATTCACTGGGAAAAGATTCAAAGCTTCCCCAAGTCAAAGTAAACTGAGTTGGTACAAGGTGACTTATACTTTGCAGAGGATATCATCGTATGTTCTGCATTGAGTGGCAAGTCAGAGGTTGTGATGCCAGCCATGCGACACGGTGCAAACATCTCGAGCAATGATGTAATCCATCTCTCTAGAGCTGCTGACCGGTACAGTGATACCTGTGTTTGCCTTACACAGTACCTAGTGGAATCCTGTATTGACGGGACAAATGTTCATGCACCAAAGTGCTGTTTATCGATCGTGCATCCCTGGACCAGGCGGAATCCTGTCATACGAGGACAGTTTCCGCTGCACAAAGGGTGTCCCGTTAGGGCAGGTTTTAATGTACTTCATATGTCACCCAGAGCTACAGGCCGCAGTAGCCAAAACACTCTGCTGACAGTGCCATCATGGGTATTCACCATCAGAACAAGCTATGAGTAATACCACCGCAGGGATGAATTTATCCGGTATCGCATCGCAGTTTGCTACGCAAAATCGATCTACTGCTACTCAAAAATCACAGTGACACGCAGAAAGCTGCGATACATACATGTACAGGCTAGGCTATCCATGCTTTTTGTAGCTTACGCCATAATTGATATTTTGCATAGCAAAAATTGCTATGCAAAAACAAGACAGTAAATTCATCCCTGCCACCGGCCGGGCCTTGGGCGGACTGTAAGGCATTCCACAGGGGCGCCACACAAAAGAACGCATGCGCTCGTAAATGCAGGGCTGTTATCAGGAACAGGCGACGTAGAAACAACAATCGTAACATAGAAAATGAAATAATGTGCGTACTCATGTCACAAATATAGCAGTGAACGTTGGGGTGCAGAACATTTTCGTGTCACTATCATCAATGGAAGCTGGCGATGGAATGGCACAGGGAAACAACGGTTGGATATACTCATAACTATACAGTTGAAGTGAAGTTAACAGCGGTGCAAAATAGCAACCACTAGTACCGTAAAGTACCGCCAGAGCGCCCCACCATCTCATCCTTTCGTGGTCGTATTGTGGAGGTGATCTGCTGTCTGTAGGTCATACGACATGAACCTTGTACACATACTGCATGTTTTGCAGTCAATCCGTACCTTCAAGAGGACACAAGCTCCACACAAAAACCTGCCAAGTGTGACCTTAGTACACTAAGATTCTCATATCGTACACACTTCGTTGCACTCTGCCGTACGATTTTCCTTTCTCTGGCTGTAAAATCAAGGTGGGGCGCTCTCGCGAGACGGGGCGCTCTGGCGGTACTTTACGGTAAGTCACAAATAGTCACACAGGCATTCAACAGGGAAGTGCGAATGATGTTACAAGTGCACAAGAGTGGACGGTATTACATGTTCACGTACTATTTTACAACCTTTGTGCAGTTGTAACACCGACCCATGTTACAAGTGCACAAGAGTGTAAGGCACTGCACGTACATGAATGTGAAAATGCATTGGTGAGGTGGGTGAGTGCGGAAATAGTGCGAGTGCACTAGTGACATGTTCCTTCTGTTAGCAAAGATCAGGGCTACGAAACTGTCACTGTCACAAAGCAAATGTCACCGCACTCACACTATTTCTGTAATTCTCACTCACCCGCCTTACCACTACATAACATATTACGTGTACACGTAACTAGGGCTGCAACGGGTAGGGGTTTGGTCGGGTAACGGGTCCGGGTAGCACGAGTACCCTATCGGGTATTTTTTTGACACAGTTTGTACTGTGAGTGTGCACTTGCGCTGCATAGAAAGTGTACAGTAGCACTAAGCCATGCTGTTTACATGCACCGTTGAAAAAACACCCTATTCCAACTACCCTATCGGGTTCTCAGGAACAAATTGCTACCCTACTACCCGATCAAATTACGGGTAGCACGGGTACCCTACTACTCGTCGACACCCCTACACGTAACACCTTACACTCATTGTGCACTTGTAAAATTGTTCGCACTTCCCTACAGAAGGCATGTGAATTTCGGTCATTTACTAGTGATATTTTGCACAGCCGTTACTTTCCTCGCAACTGTGTACAATTATACCGTACTGATGTTTCCCTGTTTCATTCCGTCACCAGGTTCCATTGATGATAGTGACACGAACATGTTCTGCAACTCAACACTCGCTGCTTTGCCTGCGACATGAGTGCACACATTTTTTAAATTCATTGCTGAGAATAGTACATACGTTGCGCCGGAACTTGCGCTGCGCAGCACCCAGTCCACGGACATATCACCTACACCTTAAGTTTGCGCTGTTGCTTTCCCCTTCTCGCCTTTATCACTCCTAGGTTCAGGCTGCCTGCTTTGGAGCCACCAATCATCTGATGTGATCTAACGTGAAACTCGGAGTCGCAACATAGCTTCCTCTCTCTCTCTCTCTCTCTCTCTCTCTCTCTCTCTCTCTCTCTCTCTCTCTCTCTCTCTCTCTCTCTCTCTCTCTCTCTCTCTCTCTCTCTCTGTTGTGTGGGGTTGTGTTATGCATTCAGTGAGACATGTAATAGTGCAGGAGTGCATATTCGCTGGGACCTGGGTTCTCATGTCAGTGGCTGCTGATTTTCAGCATCCAACGGGTAGCACCATGAACTCAAAACTAAAATTCTTGGAATCGATTTCTTCAGCGGAATGGGCTAATCTAAAGAGTACTGAACCAAGCGAAAATAAGTGTGTGGATCTGCTTAATTTGATTGAAATAAAAGTGCACACATTTGAAAAAACATCTATCCTGCATATCACCACTGCTGCCCTGGCATGACAGTTCAGAGAAAACTTCTAGCAGTGCACTTACGTCGTCAGAAAAGAACACGACAACGTGACCATTAGAGCCACCGGCAATAGCCCAAGGCCGCACCACCTGCCACAACCCATCGTGGTTGTGAAACACAAGCCGTTCTCTCGGAAACAGACGAAATTACACCATGGCGCTGCACTCAAGCTCCCTCAGTGTTTCCTCACTCGCTTCAAAACGTCTCCGCTTTGACACAGAATGGGTGTTGGCTTCCTGCTACAAGCAAAGGACAAGAAGCACGTGCGTTCTGCCCTGAAAGTACAAACTAAAGTACAAAATTACAATCTGAAGTGAAGGTGAAAGCAACAAACCCACTTCAAATATTCAAAGCAAAACGAGAAAAGAGTGATGAACGACGTCAACGCTGGACGCTGATATGATCAGTGATCACTGATCAGTGATCACGATCACGCGCACGAGTCACGTGATCACGACAGCAGCGAGCTACGTCATCGAAGTAGCAAATAGTTGCCATGGCGCCGTGGTGGTGCATACGTCAGTGGGTACGGGTATGGTGTACGTCACTACGTAGATCTACGTCTACAAACGTGTGAGCAAGAAGCTGCAAAAATTAATCACACTCGCAGTGAAGTGAAAAGGTGTAGTTTTTGTTGAATGAAAATTTTAATGTCTCAGCAACACAGGTAACGACATCTCTGAACCTCGAAGTGTTTAGTATTACCACAGCAGGTGATTGATCCCCTGTTTACCGAGCTAAGATAGTGCTAGCACGGACCTGAGGGATCGAGTGTATCCTTCTGAATCTCAAGTTCCTTTCACGAGTTGATTTTGGTTTGATTTGAAACATATTTGCTCATTGGCTGAGGCTGTTCTGTGAAGATGGATGGAAACAAACAGTCCTATAGGCCATGGTCGACTGCAACCATGAATTCAGAAATCGCAGCAGCCGCGGATAGTAGAATGGATCTTTCGCGACACATGCAGGTTCCTGACAAGATCTACGTTAGCGAGTCCCACTCCACTCCAAGCAGCCACCCAACACCGACGTATCGATCCAGTGCTGTGTCCACACCACAGACGGCGATACCATCGGCAGCCGAGCTAAATCGCTCTGCATCGGGCGGTGCTGCGGACTATACCGAAACCGGCATGAGTGTACCCCGTAGAATTCTAATGGGAGGTATGCAAAGATTGTCCAGAGAAAGGCACCTTTATCATGTGTTCAATATAGATTAACTTTAATAGTACACTGATTGTGCTGAGCATAGTAATAACGTGGAGATCAAGAACGTCCAGCCTTATAACATGGGATTGACAGCCTAGCGTGCTGAGGATACTGTAAGAATGTCATTCGAAATGCGCTTTTGAAATCAAGAGTACATGAAACCCAGGTGTGCAGCTTCTGACCTTTTTTGCTTTTTTTTTGCTGCATGGTTGTGTGTCACGGCGATATTCCTGGAACATGCATGCAACTGAGTCGCAGTTGCGCAGCAGGAGACCTGCTTGAATCCTGCTTGTACGCACTACTTCACTAAATTGATGTAATCCGGGAATTTCGCCAGGACTGTAACCCCGTCGAGCTGCACACTCTTGGCTCTCAGCCGGATTGGGGTCGCTGAACTACTGAAGTCTTTGGAAGTCTTTGTGAGTGTGTTGGTATTTTGTAACGCACATCCATTCGCAGTGCATCGCATGGTTATTTTCCAAGCTTTGTTTGATGAGCGGATTGGCCAGACTGCGTTTCGAAAGTGGAAACTAGGGCAGGAAGGGTAGCCAACTTTTGTTTGGAAAACGACCCTTCGCCTCTGCTTAACAGTAGCTATCCTTGTTGTTGTTGTTGTGGTTGTTGTTGTTTTTGAAATCTTTTATTCTCACGATGGCCTGTGGCCAATAAGAGAATTGTTGTTGTTGTTGTTGTTGTTGTCGTTGTTGTCGTTGTTGTGTGTGTGTGTGCGCGTGCGTGTGTGTACTCTTGCATGGCATGCGCATGTTTGCACGTGTGCTGTTGCAGGCGACACTCCGAGCAGTCACACAACAGCCCGGCCACATTTTCCCGAGTCGGCAATGGTTAGCGAGCCGACACATGCCGGTGCAGGACGACAGCTAGGCACGCCGCAGAGATTTGAGGATTTGCACTACAGCCACGCCCTTGAAGAGCAATCCCGGTACGTGCAGTCACACAATGCAACCCCCGTACTCGTACCTTTTGATGATTGTCTTGTTTCTGCAGCACTTGGAACTTTATGCTCTGCCTCCTTTAACCCATTTAAGGCTACAGGTCATGGCATCCAGGCTCTGCACTGCTTATTTGGCATTGAAAAGGACGTATATATACGTCCTCAGCGCCTGGGCGTCATTTTCAATGACGTATATATGCGTCTTTAGCGCTGAATAGGTTAAAGACCGTGGAGACCATCCTTGCTCTATCCTAGCTCAAGTAGCAACTCACACCTCCTACATATTTTATGTAAGAACGCCCTGCCCAGTGTGGCAATGAGCACTGTGTGAACAGAGAAAGCATTCCACACTGTACTGTAGACTAGTGAAGTATAACCTTTTAACCAAGGGAAACTGTTTCACGCAAAGCAATACCGTCGTGAGTTCTCTTCGGGAACAGACACGATAATTTACTCTTTTTTTAATCCTCAACTACTAGTATGGGAGGTTTGCATACTGTGTTGAATTGAATCTCTCAATGTATTTAGCCTAGTCAAACTGTGATGTTGGATCTGTACTGTAATGCCATGTTTCCAATCAACGTGTGCACTCCGACTTTGATCTTCTTTTCTCTTTGCACCAGCCCCGTCAGTCATGCCGCTGCGTCGGCTGTGGCATTGCGACACGATGGCTCTTCCCCCGATCATATGTTGTCCGAGATCGACGGCTTGAAGCGGCGAGTCGCTCTGCTGGAGAAGCGGCTGGCAGCCGGCGGTGGTGGTGGCTCAGGTGATGAGTCGCCGCGCGGAGGTGGCTTGCTGATGGTCATGATTCTAAGCTTCTGGCTCTTCAATCCCGTCATGTTCTACTTGTGGAGAGGATCGAGATAACCGAGACTGTTACCGGCGGAGTGTGTCTGCGTGGCCAGGCACTGCGTTAGTTCCGGCCACTCGTGTGAATCGCAACCGGGCGTTTCCAAAGTGGAATCACGCTGTTTGATTCGTTTGCTGACGCCAACGCCACTCGGCCTGTGAGAGGTCATCAATGAATTCTGGATGCTATCCTGTAACGTGTAATACAGCTCAGTCTGACTCTCAATATGTCCTTGCTACAATTCCCCAGGGCTGCAACAGTGCATTTACTACTAGTTCTGAGCTGCTCACTCCTGACGTCCTCATATTACTGAGCTGCTCACTCCAGACTTCCTGCAACTATTTTTCAATGTACTACCGTTTCTTACCTCGGTAGTATGGGATATGGGCATATGGCCTTTGTTACTTTTCCAAATGTCTTTCCATACTCCATAGTTACCTCTTCCCCCTTTCCCTACATTTTAACATTATGTTACACTACTTCGAAGGACTATTATGTATGTAGTTTGAGCAGAATTTTCTGTGAGTTCTTACCAGCGCATAAACGATGTGTGTGTGTGGGGGGGGGGGGGGCTTGTTTTTGCTAAGGGAGTAGTATTTTTTACTACTCCCTGGGTGCCTGTTGGCGCTATCCCATAATCCATTTGAGCGAAGTACGCAATGTAGCACCAGGGAGTAGTATCATGCCCTGGTAGCAAGCCACGAGATCGACAAAGGAACGGTTTTAGAAGAGCAGATGAACTGTGTGCTATGCCTATGGTGCACGTGCACACACTCCATGCCATGTCATCGCGTGTTGCTCTGCATGCAGGGTAGGGCTTGTTGACGTTACCGGTACTGGTATTCATCCCCATGCAGCATTTGCTCTGTTTCGCCTGAACTTAAAAACATACCTCTGGTTTATCTTTATGGCAATTTCCTTACAAACGGTCCTTGCACCTGCGACTTGGCATGGATTGCTGATCCTGTGCCCTATGGCCATATTGCTACACTGCTATTGTGTAATTGACTCGTTGCCGAGTGTTTTACACCGCATCATTATTTTACTACCCTCCAGCCTACAGCTTTACCCATTCGTCCTGAAGGAGGGACGGTACGACATCCCGAATGCTATTCCATCCAAATCTTGGAAGCACAGTGCTAAAGATTTAACAGCCTCCTTTCCTGTCAGGTAGACCAACTCTGGATGCGAATCTATTCTGTTGTCAGTTGTCGACGTAGTCAGCTCCTGTCCGATTGTTTCCAGTGCTCAAAGACCGGATCTCTGTGCATGCTTGGCTGGTCGCTGGGCACCCATTTCACTTCTTTGCGACCCTCTTCTGAACACGAATGGGTAGGTGTACGAGCCTGGTCAGGTAGGTGTACGAGCCTGGTCAGGTAGGTGTACGAGCCTGGTCAGGTAGGTGTACGAGCCTGGTCAGGTAGGTGTACGAGCCTGGTCAGGAATTCTTGAGAAAAGAATGCTGCCTGCACACGTACACGTACAAGAAAGAAAATAGAGGTGCGAGAACCGCAGCGACAAGACAAACAAGTGCGCAAACATCCGGACTTAGTACAG